GGTTGAGCTATAGGCGCCGAGCCTAAAATCTATAGGTTTAGCTCACAATGTCTCTATCTCTGAGTGGCTTTGTCCCCTCACCCCCATCTCTGTCTCTCAGGAAGTGTCCCTCCTTGACTCCCTCCTCTCTAGAAGGTATTTAGCAGTCTCAGTAGGCCTCTCTCCCGCATCTCTAGGTATGGGGCTTTCTAGCTGTCATTCCTCTCCCTACTTGCTTCCCTTTCCCCCAGTTGGACAGCAGTATAGGCTTACGCACCCCACGGTGGGCCGAGCGGGTGCACGGACATCCTTGCACACCAGCCGTACGTAGCTGTACTTGAGCACATCGATGAGAGTGTAGAGTTGGGGTGTGCTGGCCCACCGGCAGCGTGCCAGGTGCATGGAACTCTTGACGAAGAAGAGTGCTAGCCGCTGCTGGCACCATGCGTCGAAGAAGCAGCTGAACTCTGCCCATGAGAAGAAGGCCCGTTCCCGCAGCTCCTGTTCCTCCTGCCCAGCTGCTGTGCAGGCTGGAGGCTCTGGCTGCTCCATTCTGGGGGCCTGAGTGGAAGTGGTAAGAACAGCTAGATATCAGATCCATCCCCACTCAGGGAATATCTCCTATTCTCCATTCTCAGCCTGCCCAGTTGGTGCTGGTGACTCTGTCTAAGTGGGGCCTGGAAGTAGATGCCCATTTTTCCCCAGATATAAATTTTTACCCTATCTTTGGTCTCCCCTCACCACCTTACCCCCTATTTAGTTGTTGCCTGTCAACCTGATTCCTAATTCCAACTCTGGTACCCTTCTCAGCAGATTTAACCATTAGGTACAGTTGGGGTCCCCTTGCAGATGTGTCTCACCATTGGCAGTAACCTCAAGTACCCCGTTCAGGTGGAATTCCCCATTCCATGTGTCTACACTTAGCTGTAATTCACATCCAGCTGTGCCCCCTCTAAAAATGTTCCATTTCCTGATGTGCTTTCCACATCCACGAACTCCTCATCAGTCATATTCTTCATGCACCTGTGGCTCCCTGCTTCCCAGAGGTGTCTCAGACATGCAGCCCCTCCCCCAGATGTGAACCCGATGGATCACTAACTACCCGATGGATCACTAACTACATCTAGCTGCGGCTCTCCTTCTCAGAGACGTTCTCATCTCCAGATGTGCCTTCCACATCCAGTTATGGATTCTTTGCCTACAGGTGTGTGCCTACTTGTGGCCAGCTCTCCTCGAAGTGTCACCAATATTCGACTGTGGTCCCCCTCCTTCTCACATGCATCTCCTAGTCCAGCTGTGGCCCCTCCTCCCAGCTACAGCCACCACCCTCCCTAACGTGCGTCTTCGTTCTAGACATGGCCCTTCATCTACAGACCGGCTTCTTTACCCCACATGGTCTCACCATGTCCACCTGCGCCCCCCTCCACCGGCAGTCTCCTTCCAGCCCGCTCCCGCCTCCCAATTCCTCCCAGCCCCATCGTCCCACCTAGGGAGTGCCTCTCCCCTCCCCCAGATGTGCACCCTTCCCGCCCCTCCCCACTCACCTACCCGCCCCGGAGCGGCGTCTACTTCCCACAATGCTCCGCGCCGAGACACAGACCGGCCCGTGCTCCCGGGATGCCCCGCGCGGCTTCCCGCCTCTCTTCCCGCCTTGCCTGGTACTGCTTCTTCCACCTACCTTCCTCTTTCCCCGCCAGTCACTCCTCGGACCTGCAGTCACATCCGCTCCCGCTCATCCAGAGTCAGGAAAGGCTCGGGACCGTTTCCCAGAGTGCTCTGCAGGAGGACTTTCCCCTCTTCACCTCTTTCCGGGTCGTCTCCCACGAGACACTACAACTCCCAGGGTCCTTAGTGAGGCGACGGCAGCGCTGTAGAGCCCAGATCCCGCCCCTCAACTCGGCCCCGCCCCGCCTGCCGAAGTCTGCGCGCGAATGCCGTGGCGCGAATTTGGGACTACAAAGCTGAACCGAGCGGAGGCGAGTGTGTTACCCTGGCAGTGGTGCCCTGGATCCAAGCAAGGCAAGATGGGCTTCCCGGGCAGGCTGGGAGGCTGAGAGCGACAAGCCTGCCGAATGCTTGCTTAGGGCGACTGCGGAGGAAAGGGGTGGGCCCAGTGCGCGGTGGAAAGGGGAGAGTGCGGACTGAAGGCTACTGGTGAGAAACCAAACCGGTGTCTGTTGGAAGGGGCCCAAGTAAAGGACAGTCCATGGAAAGGGACAGCTGGACGCGACAGGGTCTGAGGAAAGGCCTGGAAGAGCGGGGCCGCTTTAAGGGGGAGGGGCCTGAGAAAGGTTGAAGGGCGGGGCCAGGAGCGTTTGTGAGTGGGCGGGGCCAGCTGGGAATCGGGCGCGCTGGGGAGGCGGGGCCGCTGGTGGTGCTAAAGGGCAGGTTAATTCTGGGGAGGGTCACCTGTAGGGGGTGGGCCCAGGTGGAGGGAGGTGGGGTGGGAAGAGGTAAGTGATAAGGGCCAGGTCTAGGTTAAGACTTCGTGAATAATCGATAATTTTCTGAGCAGGGAGAAAGCTGACCATGAGTATGTCTGTAAAAGGGCCAAAGCCGAGGAAAGGGCGGGCATCTTTCCTGTTTCTGATTTGAAACTTTTATTAATCTTACTAGTAAATTATTTTGGTTAATAAAAACAGGAGTTTCTTCTTGAAGAATCACGTTCTTGATTTTGTTTTTCTGTTTCTTTTTTTTATTTTCTTTATTAAAAAAAGGGGTTTCATGTGTTTGGATTTTTATGCACAGCCAGTATCCTCAACAATCATTTGGATTTTTATTTCAGGAACAGCTGACGGGAAAGGAGAAGAACTTACAGAAAGGGAGAATTCTGATGCCAAGATGCAGCGAAGTATCATGTAAGGGCCTTGCCATACCCCTTAGTCTTATTGTCCCCATTTCCTCTGTTTCTTTCTCTGAATCTGTGACTTTAAAAAAACAAAACAAAACAAGACTAATTAGATTTCCAGTTGAAATTTCCAGAAGATGAGTAGTATGGAAAATATGTATTGAATGTAAGTTTTTAATCACAAGGCACAGAAACTGTAACTCTGTGGTTCCCAGTCAGCAGTTTTGTCCTCTACAGAGCACCAGGCAATATCTGGAGACATTTTTTGCTGTCACAACTTAGAGGATGGGGATTTACCATTGGCATCTGGTAGATAAAGGTCAGGCATCCATCATGGCTCAAGACAGCCCCCCACAAGCAAGAATAATTCACCCTTAAGGATCAGTGACATCTAGGTTGAGAAACATGCTAACAGGAGCTAGCTTCAGGAAATAGGGATTTACTAGGCTTATGTAGTTGAAACTGTCTGGAGTAAATGGCTTGGTTGGATCCAGTTGTCAAAATTTTGTCACTGGGAATTTGTTTCTTTCCCTTGTTCAGCTCAACTTTCTTCAATGTTGTCATCACTTTCAGGTTTTCCTGGGGTTAGTGATCCCAGTGAAAATGTGTCTCCCTCCCAGCTGTCCCAACAATATCTAGAGTCATGTTTCTCTGGTCCAGCCTGGGCCACATGCCTCTCCTGGACCAGCCATTGTAGTCACAGGGATGGCAGTGCTGTGATTGGCTAGCTCAGATCATGTGTCCACCCGTGATTGTGGCCACAAGGGCAGGCCCAGTCAAATCTTGTATGTTGACAAAATTCTGGGGAAAAGGGTGGCGCCTGTGGCTCAAAGGAGTAGGGCGCCGTCCCCATATGCCGGAGGTGGCGGGTTCAAACCCAGCCCTAGCCAAAAAAAATTCTGGGGAAAAGGCATCCCAGAAAGAAAATGGGGGGTGCTGCTGCCAGAGGGAGGGAATTGGGAAATGGATGGTAGACAGACCTAGACCTGGATAGCCGCCACAGAAATTAGGGAGGTACTGGCTTATGCAAGTCCTGGGTTACATTTTTCTCGTACGAGGAGAAATCTGGGGATAGTTTATCCAGGGCTGATAGCATCTTAGATTGCTTTCTGTATACTTGCTTTGCTTTTTTTTCCCTTTTTCTTTCTTTTTTTGAGGAGAGGAGGAATAATTTTAGATACATAGAAAAGCTATACAGATAGAACAGAGGGTTCCTGTATACCCCTCACCCATTTTCCATTGTTGATGTCATAAATTACTATGGCTCACTTCTAACAACTAGGGACCCAACATCAGTATATTATTATTAATTAAACTCTACACTTGATTATTCAGACTTCAGGGGTTTATTTGTTTGTTTTAATGTCCTCAGTCTCCTCCGCATGACAGTTTCTCAAGACTTCCCTTGTTTTTTATGATCTTGTCAACTTGGGGAGTACTAACAAGGTATCCTGTGGAATAGCCCTGTTTTCAGTGTATACATAGTATCATAATTAGGCTAGAGTTGTGGGCTTTGGGAAAGATGCCACTGAAGGATATTGCCTCATGTCAGGGGTGTATAATATTCCAATAATGTGGCATAAAGTTAACATTTATCACTTGGTTAGGGAAGCATTGGCTAGTCCTCTTCACCATTAAATTCCTGTTTTTTTCCCCCTCAGTACTCTTTTCTCCCGAAGCAAACCCCTCAATCTAGGCAATCTCAAGTTAATTGGAAGGTACCATGCTTTATATTTTTTTAGAGTACTTTTACCTCCTGAAATTTTATATTTAGTTATTTGCTTAGTATTTGCCTCCTATTTTAGAGTATTAGCTTCTTGAGGTCAGGGTCTTTGTGTGTCTGGGTTACTGCCAAATCTCTCAGGCCTGGGACAGGCCCTGACATATAATAAGTGCTCAGTTAATATTTGTTGGATGAAAACTAGGGTGTGTTCCCTCTCTCAGGCAAGTCAGAGCAGAAAAATAAGTAGAACATTGTCTCTGTCTAAGCCTAAGTTTCCTTATCAGTCAAAGGGGTTGTTTGAAATCCTCTGTTATGTGCTGGGGATGGGAAAGGGTGACCTCAAATTAATTGGAAGGTGTCTTGCTTTATTTGGAAGCTGCAGGAGTGCAGCATGGATAGGCAGCAGGGTACTGATGCTGTTATCATTCCCTTTTTCCCACCTCTTATGCTCCTCTAGGTCATTTTTCCATCCCAAGAAAGAGGGTAAAGTGAAGAAACCTGAGAAGGAGGCATCCAACAGCAACAGAGAGATGGAGCCCCCTCCAAAGTATGCAATGGGGCCGGGACAAGGTGGATATTTTCCTTTAGCAGTCAGAATTCTTAGTTGCAAGTGTTAAAAACTTAATTCCAAAAGGTCTTCCCCCCACACACACATTTTTTTACTGAGGCAAAATCAGCTTTAGAAGCAGCTGTATCCAGGGTGCCAGAGTTGTTTTCAGGGCTCTGTTTCTACATGTCTTGGCTTTATTCTAGACCAGATTTCTCCATGAGGCAAAGACACTGGGCACTGGTCATGTCTTGATGCTGTTTCTAGAAGACAGCAATGTTGTTCATTCTAGTATCCACATCACAAGTTCTCAGGAGAGACCCTGCTTGGCGTTGGGTGATATGATCACCCCTGTGCCAATCAGCTTGCCCAGAGCATGGACTCTAGACATAGTCCACATCCCTAAATTCTGACCCTGGGCAAGTAACTTCACTTACTATGCCCCAGTTTCCTGATGTGTAAAAGGGTGTCATACTCTGCATCAGGCTTTCTGTGTGGGTTTAATGAGTAAACACATGCCTCATACATGAAATGTGCTCTAAGGGGGAGGAATCAAGTCATAATTTTTTTCAACACTCTTGATTTTTTAGATCTGTCCCTTTAGTGTATGCATTGCTATATTTATATACATATGGTGTCTTATTTCCTGTTTAATTTTTTAAAGTCTCTATTAGATCATACTGTTTATACTGTTTATCATCTTGCTTTTCTTCAGTTAGCATTATGACTTAGAGATTTTTTTCCATTTATAAATAGAGGAACTTCTTGTATTCCATTTTATGGATATACCACAAGAATTATTTATCATTTCCCTATTGGTGAATATTTAGGTTGTTTCCAATTTGTTTCCACCAAAAATGCCTTTAAGCCCTTTCCACAATAGTTCATACAAACCCACTTCATTCTTTGTAATGATGCTCACTGACTTAGCTGCAGAGTTTTCAGTGTCCATGCGGTCTCTTTAATCAGACAGCTCTGAGTGAAGAAACACGTGGGTATGAGCACCCAAGTGACCTCCATCAGTAGGTGTGTCACTGCATTGTGATGGTCTGTGTCTTTGCCCTTTACCAGACTCAGAGCTCCTCAGAGCAGTGTCAGGAGTATGGTCAAGCTGCTTTAACAGCATCCAAAGTCACAGTGACTTAGTTAAAGTAAAAGTTGCCTTTTCCTCACTTGTAAGGCTCTGAGCTATTCAGGTAATTTAGGGCAGGTAGGTAGCTCTGTACCCCGAAGTTATCCCAGACCCAGATTCCCTCACCTGCATTACCAAAGCGAGTCTCAGGTCCTGGTGTGAGTGGACATAGACACTAGCAGTCAGGAGCAAGTTGCATGTGTCCATCATGCTATTTACTTGCTCTTGCTCAGAACTTAGAACTTCATGCATAGCTGAAGGGGGACCTGGTACATGCAGTCCCTAGCTGGGTGACCATGTACCTTGCTAAAACTCAGAAGCTTATATGACTAGAAGAAAATTTCCCAACAGATGTTCCAGGGTAGTCTCTATCGTAGGTAGGGACTCCATTTGCTTCTCACCATTGCCCATCAGAGGTGGGCATTTGGGAAGCTTCTGGAGACATGATGGAGTGGTAGATCAATGAATGGATGGGCAGTAGAGTATTTGCCAAGGAGGCTTCTAGAAAATGTTCATTGAATGCTTGAAGAGAAGGAACACAGTTAAGAAGCTGGAGTGTTTGGGGCAGTGGCTCCACTGCCTGCTGTGATGGCCTTTCCCCTTCTCCTTTCCCACCTTCCAGAACAGCACTGAAAGAGTGGAATGGAGTGCCTGATGACTCACCAGTGAAGAGGCCAACGAGGAAGACAGCCCGGGTCTTGGGCAGTGAAGGGGAGGAGGACGATGAAGCCTTGACTCCCACCAAAGGCCAGGTATGTCTTGTTTTTACTAGAAAAAGCCATAATTCTCATTAGCCTTTATAACTGGGAGCAGCTCAGCTGAAGTCTGGCACACTCAGCAAGAGGTAGATGAGCTCAGTGGTTGTGTTGGGGTGATAGAAGACCTGGTCCTAACTCTACCCCTTCCCTGGGTCCGCGGGCAGTCACTTTGACTTCCATAAACCTAGATTGCCTCACCTGTAAGACACAGTTCCTGGTAACGCCTTCCTCGTAGGGTAGATGAGAGGATGAAACAAGTCAATTCATGTACAGATCTGTGAATGATGCCTGATACAAAATTAGGGCTCAGAAATATATCCAGTTTCTCCCATGCCCAGAGGGCTTTCATTCTTTCCAAACTTGGCGGATCGCCCCCTTCCCCTGCACAAGTATCATTTAATGCTTGTTCAGTGCTCCATGGCTAATGTCCAAAGTGTAGCACATCTTCATCTGTCAGTGGGACGGTCCTGTTGCTCCCTGTTGAAAGCTCTGGCGTGACCATCTTAGGCCAAGACAATGTGCCCTTAACCCCCTTTCAGCCTCATTGACTCTCTTGGCTTGCTCTGTCCCACTCTTATCTTTGCTAAGTGGGCTCCACCTCTGGGCCCGTTGCTCTTTATAAGTTACTTTAGAAAACAGAATTGTTATTGGGATTTTTGATGGAAGAATCTGGTACTGTAACACTATAAGGGAGGGTGGAATGATGGCTCATGTGAGAGAAGACAAGGCCTGAGTTGAGGTCATGAGGCCAGAAAGGAGAGTAGGCACAGAGAGGGATTTGGGAAGTGTAGCCCTTTCTCCCCCAACCCTGCCACCCCGAATTGCTTTTTTCTTGCAGAAGCCTGCCCCAGACTGCCTGAAAGTCTCCCCTCCTAGTCCTGCCACATCTCCTGAGAACAGCCCTTCCCTCTCTGATACCTCTCCCATGGGTGTCTCCCCAGTGGTGATCCTGAAGCGCCGTACAGGTAAGGACATATGGGGCCCTTTCAGCTGCCCAGTCTTTCTCCCCACTTGGATTTCTGTGCCAGGTGGCCATCCTTACAATAGCTCTGATGTTAGTGTAGTGGTTAAGAGCACAACTCTGCTATCCATTAGCTGTGTGACCTTGGCAAGTGACTTACAAACTTTCTCTGAACTTAGGTTGATTTGTCTGTAAAACAAAAATAAGTACAGCACCCACCACACAGAAATGTCAGGGGAGTTAGAAGTTAACACTTGTGAAGTGCTCAGAACTGGGCCCAGCTGGTAGTCAGCGCTCAGTAAATGTTGGTCATTGTGATTGTTCTGTGCAGTGGTAGAGGCGCCCTGAAGGACAAAGGAGGCAGCAGGGAGAGAAAGAGGGAAGAACATTCTAGGCAGGGGGAAGAATTTGAGTAAAGGTCTTTGAGGGCTGCTGATGGGTTGGTGTGTGCTGGTACAAGAGTACAGAGTTGGGGATGATGAGCCATGAGGTGAGAAGGTTCTGGAAAGCCAGCCAGCAGAGCAACATTTGTCGGGGTCCCTTCCTGGTCACCAGGTACCAGGGCCCCTGCTAGGTTGGTATGTGGACAGCTATGCTCTTATCTGCTCAGGAACAATTGCTCTTAGGTACCTGAGGGCCAATTTACTTTAGCAGAAGGGAGAGAGAGAGTCAGAGAGTAAAGCAGTCTTAGAAGAATGGAGCTTAGCGGTCTTTAGCAGAGTTTAGTAAGCTTCAGCAGAGAGACACCTGCTGGTGTTTTGCAGGCAGGAGAAGTGACAGTGAGCAGGTTCGTGATAGAATGTGCATGCTCCCGACTGCCTTCTCCTGCAGCCCAATATAGAGTGATCTTGTAACTCTTACCACCACAGGTGTAGAGACTGCCAATTCACTAATGCTCTCTCACAAGCTCTCTCCTGCTTGTTAGGAGAGCTAAATCCCTCCCCATGCCCTTTTCACCAAAGTGTTCTATTGAGTTGTACAGGTGTTTCTTTTACCTCCTAGCCGTAGGCTATACGGGCTGCTACATTTCCCCCTTTTTTATACAAAAACAAAATAATTTTTAATATGGCAAGGGCAGCACCTCTTCCTGTTGTCTATCCCTTTTCTTGCTAGGCCAAAGAATATGGTGATTGTCAAAGTTCGAAGTTCCAGGTAAGGGCTCTTTAAATGACGAAGCCCTGTATAGATTCAAAGTTCAGCTGCTGCTAGGGAAATGACAATGATTATAATGTTAATTTCTTTAAAGGTCTTTGAGAGAATCTTTGGCTAAGAAAATTTACAATACAAAGGTCCCGCTTCCCTGGCCAAGCTTTTCCTTTGCTACTTGAATTTGTAATAAACTGACGAACAAAAGATAGCGCTTTCCTTGCAGTTTTTGCCAGTGAGAATCTTGCCGCCTTTCCAGAGGCTTTGTTACTCGAAGTCCTTGGTAGCATAAAATCCTACTACTTGAAACAGGAATTCTGCTTTTCCAGAGGTTCTGCTCGCATTCTTTGGTAACGGAGATTCTATCGCTTTCTCCACCCCTTCGTTACTTCTTTTTGAAACCCAAGCTATGGCCTTTTGCCACTTTCTGCCTTCAGGAGCGGGCAAAGAAAGACACTGCTTTTCTAGCGGAATTTTTCCTTCGGTGGTTGAATCCAGACCTTATTTCTAATGGAGTTCCCTAATTCCTTTTTATCATGGCCGAAGGTCCTGTCTCTTTAATGCAGACTCCGCTTCAGTTTTACTCATGCTTCCTACATTTCTTATCTCATATTTCTTATCCCAAACTTACCTGTTTTTTTCTCCATTGTCATTTATTGGTCTGGTTTAAATTTCCCCATATTTGTCTCTGGGGCACCAAAGGTCCAGCACACTGTGGTGAGGATTACGTCTGGCGCAACCCACTGTGAGCAGGATTCTGCCTTGGACTAACATTGAATAAATTATATTGTTTTACCAAAGAATCATAGAAACAGGGTTATTTTAACGTCTTTTATTCCTATTGAATTGGGGCATTCCTTTGCCTTGGGGCATACACCTGGAAGTTTACATACTCTTGTTTCCCTGGATCACTTAAAGTGAAACCATTCTTTTCTTTGGTATTCTGTGTTTTTTTTCTTTTAGCAGTTTTTTCTCATATGGCTAGCTTCCCACCTTTATGGAATTTGATGTTAACTGGGGGATTTCTTAGATGATCTTCTGGCTGCTTAATCTGAGTTGCTAAGCCAAACATTTCTTGGCTTTAGCTGTAAGACTGATCTTTTAGTGGTTATATCTCATTTGCCATGATTTTTCTCTTCTGGCTTTTTCTATTGGCCTTTTTACCTCTTACAATCTTTCCCTTTCAAATGGAACCTTTTATTGCCTTAAAGGGATAGGGGGCATCAGTTGTTCCAAAGCTGCTTCCTGCTGAAAGTGGAAGCTGGTATAGGCAGTGGTTCTCAACTTTCCTAAAGGAACCTGCTGCAATCCTTTAATACAGTTCCTCATGTTGTGGTGGCCCCCAACCATAAAATTACTGTTGTTGCTACTTCATAACTGTAATTTTGCTACTGGTATCCCAAGACCATCAGAAATGTTTTTCGATGGTCTTAGGTGACCCACAGGTTGAGAACCGCTGGTATAGGGGAAGGCAACTAAAGATTCCTTTCCCTAACTTGATAAACTCTTACAACTGGTTCCCAAACTTTGTTCTTTGCTGTTTTGCCTAAGGCTTTTGTTTACTAAAGTTTCTTCTTATCTTCTAGTTCTATCTTCTATCTTTTTCTCTTTCCTCTCTAAAGACTTTTGGGCTTTTATCAGTTTTTCCACCGAGTAGTTAGAATTTGGAAAGACAAAGGGCAGGAAAGAGGAAAAACCAAATGAGAAAGCCTGTTGTTGGCTATCTTTTTCTTAGATGTTTCTTTTCCCTCATATATTTGTATTTCTCTTCTCTTTTTCTTGTTTGTTCTTGGCTTATTTTCCCTTCAGCCCATGTCTACTAGATCTCAGTGGCTAATCCACCATCCCACTTCTGACACCACTTGTCAGGGTCCCTTTGTGGTTGCCACTTATCAGGACCCAGGACTGGCCATGTCTCCAGCCCCCTGCTTATCTAGGTTCCGGATGTGGATAGCTATGCTGTTACCTGGCTCAGGAACAATTTCTCTTAGGTGCCTGAGGGCTATTTAGCAGAAGGGAGAGAGAGAGAGAGTCTGAGAGACTAAAGCAGTCTTAGAAGAATAGAGCTTAGCAAACTTTAGCAGAGTTTAGTAAGCTTCA